TGTGGAGTTTTGTTTTTTTTTTTTTTTTAGTTGGGATTGAACTCAGGACCTTGTACTTGCTAGGCAGGCGGTGGAACCACTGAGCTAAATACCCAGGTCTGGAAGATATCTTTTTATTTACACATTTCAGTATCATCTGCATTTTTTACAGTATGCATGTTACTTTTGTAATTGTAATAAGTAATCGAGTGAATGAATCAATGAATAAATAAGGGACTTTATAGAGTTCTCAGGATGAATGAAAGAGGAAATTTAGTCCTTAAATTCTGCTCCTCCTCTTTCTCTCTCTCCCTTTCTCCCTCTTTCTGTTTCTAGTCTGAGATTGAACCCAGGTCCTTTGCACTGAAAGAGATAAACCCCAGCCCTTTAAAAAAATTTTTTTTTATATTGAGGAGTATCAAACCAAGTTACTAAATTGCCCATGCTGGGTTCAGACTTGGGATCCCAGTGCCTAAACTTCCCAGAGTGCTGTGATTAAAGGTGTTTGCCACCATACCCAACTCTTAAATTTCTCTTTCTGATCTATTTACTAAATCTGAGACCTGTTCATTCAATTTAAATTCATTTTTGTTGCTGCTGTGTTCTCTCTAGTAATTTTTGGGGGGACGGGGTGGGTGATATGCTATATTCCTAGCACTTTTAAATTTTTATTTTGATGAAAGTTCCAATTTGCTCAGCCTGGCTCCAAATTTGTGATCTTTCTGCTTCAGCCTTCTGAGTAGCCAGGATTACAGGTATTCACTACCATACCCAGCTAATGATTCTGTTTTCAAAAAATAAAATTACTTACTCATTTTGGTTCTGGAGATCAAACCCCAGGGCTTCATGGATGCTAAGCAAGTGCTGTACCATTGAGCTTGACTTCTAGCCCTTAACTTCTATGTGAATATATTTAATAAACTGCTTCCAAAGAGTATTTAGGATATAATAACTAACAAACAAATTCAGAACAGTATGGCCCCAGTTTGGGGGAAAATTATGTATGTATGTATGCATAGAAAAAAAAATGCAGGGCTGGGGATTTAGCTCAGTGGCACCATGCCTGCCTTGCAAGTGCAGGGTTCTGAGTTTGATCCCCGGTACTACAAAAAAAAAAAGAGAAGAAAGTTGTTAGTATGGCTATCTCTGGGTATATGATAGATTAACTACTACTTTTTATTGCGTTACTAATTTTCAATATGCATAGATTTCTTTTACTATCAGAGAAAAAAAATTTGTTTCTATTTCTTTCTTTCTTTTTCTTTCATGATCCCTCCATTGGGTGGATGGGGAGGAATGTAGCTCAGTGGCACGATGCCTGTCTGGCAAGCATCAGGTCCTGAGTTTGATCCCTGGTACTGAAAAAAAAAAAAGTCCACTTGTAAACATCTATGAAATGAATGTTTACTGAGCACCTGCTTGTGCCTGACATGGCGTTCTTGTTAAGCTCATAGTTGTAATGGACAGACTCACAAGCAAATAACATGGAGAAAGAGGATGACATAATTCAAAGTGTTATGGGTCATCCAGCGGCCAGGAGAGTCCAGGAGTGACCAGGAAGGCTTCTCAGAGGAAAGTTTGCTTAACAGGAGTCTTGAGGTATGAGGAGGAGTTTGCTGGATGGGCTGATGCAGACAGCATTCCAGGGGAAGAGAATGACTTGTACAAAGGCACCTTTTAGAAGACTGTTAGGGCTGGGGATTTAGCTCAGTGGTTTGGTGGCCTGCCTTGCAAGCGCAAAGACCAGAGTTCAATCCCCGGTACCAAAAAAAACCCCAAAAAGACTGTTAGCTAAGAAGAAGGGGATAAAAGGGAGAGGGAAGAGGAGGGCAAGAGCAGGAAGAGGGTGGATGGGTATGATCAAAGTATGTCATATACATGTATGACCGTGTTACAATGAAACCCAATATCTGTATAATTAATATGCACCAATAAAAACCTTTTATAACAACATAGAAGCATGAAAGAGTATATATCCTGTGCACGAACATTAAATGCTCAGTGGAGGCTTAGGGGACATGGGGAATTGTTGCGTTGGAGAAACAGAAAACCCGAAAACCCTAGACACAGTGCAAAGCTCCCGAGGGGCCTTGTGTGAGACAGAGTATAAACACTGCCATCCCCATTTAGCAGTCAAGAAAACAGTCAGAGAGGCTCAATGATTTGTCTAAGACATTAGGGGAGGGGGCCAAGATGGAGCACTGAGGGTTTTATGCTGTGGACCTCTGTGCCTTCTGGGCCAGGCCTCACCCTGACAGCCCTCCGATGTTCTGGTGTGAACCACTTCATGCTGCTTGGAAAGAGCAAGGCTGACCCCACTGTAGGCTCTAACCACACTGGCCACACGTTTGGCACACCCTTGTACAAGAAGCCACCAGAAAGCATTCTCCAGGAGAGCTGTTCCTAGAAAATGACAGGTACACACTTGATCATGAAGTTGGTGGGCACCCTTCAGAAATGAGGGAGGAGGAAGATTTCCTCATGCCCAGCCATCCTGGGAAGCCACTTTCCTCCCTTGCTGCCAGGATTAAGCGGCTCTTAGGCCTCTTATTCCATGCAGGACAGGAAGCCAGGGATACAGCAGGAATCCCAATCCAGTGTTTGATGATGCTTCATGGGCTGTAGAATCAGAAAGACTCCTGTCTCTCTCTCTCTCTCTCTCTCTCGCTCTCTCTCTCTCTCTCTCTCTCTGTTTTTTGGCACCAGGGATCGAACTCAGGACCTTAGGCTTGCAAAGCAGGCAGCAGAACCACTGAGCTAAATCCCCGGCCCTCTCTTGCTCTCTTTAATGGCTAGAATAGACTGACAATACCATGTGTTGGCAGGAACATGGAACACCCAGGCCTCTCTCCCTCTTGAGGCCCCACCATCTATTTTCTTGAGTATATACTTTCAAATTCTTTTTAATAAATCCCTTTATGCGCCTTTAAAAAAATGTGGAGCAACTAGAACTTTTATACAGAGCTAATGGAAATACAAAGTGGCCCAGTCATTTTGGAAATACAGATTGACAATGTAATGCTTAATAAAGTTAAACATATTTCTACCTAAGAGGAATATTCATAGCCA